TGCTGATGATTGCTGGCTGCTGCTGATGATGATGATGATGATGATGATGCATCATCTGCAGCTGCTGCTGATGATGATGATGATGTTGATGATGTTGATGCTGATGATGATGATGATGATGATGATGATTACCTTACAGATCTGGTGCAGTGCACGAACGAACCCAATGTGTCCATACCACAGCTGTTGATGATGATGATGCTGCTGGTGCTGCTGCTGCTGCTGATGATGATGATGATGATGTTGATGATGATGATGTTACCTTGCAGATCTGGTGCAGTGCACGAACGAACCGAACGTGTCCATACCACAGCTGGCCAACCTGCTGATCGAACGCACGCAGAACACATCGTGGGTCATCGTGTTCAAGGGCCTCATCACCATACACCATCTCATGTGCTACGGAAATGAGGTGCGTGCGCGTGTGCGGGGGAGGAGGGAGGGATGAGGGGGAGGAGGGGGAGGGAGGAGGAGGAGGAGGAGGAGGGATGGCGGGGGANCTCTCTCTCTTACAGGTAACAGTATTTGTTTTGGCTTGCTGCAGGTTATGACATGTCTACCTACATACGTCGCTACTCCAAGTACCTGAACGAGAAGGCATACTCATACAGGACAATGGCCTTTGACTTCTGCAAGGTCAAACGAGGGTCAGTAACAAATCAGTCCCTCCCTCAGTCCATCCCTCGCTCGCTGGCCGGGTTTCGTGAGGGAGGGAATGAGGGTGGCCTTGTCTAGTTGTTAATAGCTATTTACGTTAGATACGGAAAGCTACAATGACAAGGTCAAGCGAGTGTCAGTATCAAATCAGTCCCTCCCTCGCTCGCTGGCCGGGTTTCGTGAGGGAGGGAAGGAGGGTAGCCTTGTCTAGTTGTTAATGGCTATTTACGTTAGATACGGAAAGCTACAATGATAAGGTCAAGCGAGCGTCAGTATCAGATCAGTCTAGGGGAAAAATTCCTTTTTTTTCACGGGAGCTCTTTTTCAAAAGTGTGTTGGAAAAATAGCTCTCGTGGGAAATTTTACGGGAGCTATTCTGAGAATCACGGGAGCGTTTTCGGATGTTTGAAGAGCGAATCGCTCATCGCTCCCGTGTATTTTTTACCCTGGATCAGTCCCTCTCTCGGTCCCTCCCTTGGACCCTCCCTCCCTCGCTCGCTGGCCGTGTGTTGTCAGGGAGGAAAGGAGGGTAGCTTTGTCTAGTAGTTAATAGCGGTGGGGCCGGGGTTGGGGGGGTTCATGGGTAGTACAAATAGCACGCCTGCTTAGCTAAATACGTTAGATACGGAAATCTACAATGGCTAGGGCCGTGAGTGTGGGGGTGGGGGAGGAGGTTTCCTTCTCTCTCTCTCTCTCCATCTCTCCTCTCGCTCCCTTCCCCTCCCTCTCCCTCTCCCTCTCCTTCCCTACTCTCCCTCTCTCCTCTCCCTCTCCCTCTCCCTCTCCCTCCCTATCTCTATCTCTCTCGCTCCCTACCTCTCCCTCTCTCCTCTCCCTCTCCCTCTCTCTCTCTCTCTCTCTCTTTCTCGCCCCTTACCTCTCCCTCTCCCTCTCCCTCCTCTCTCTCCCTCTCCCTCTCCTCCTCTCTCTCTCCCCCTCTCTCTCTCTTCCTCTCCTTCTCCCTCCCTCTCTCTCTCCCTCTCTCTCTCTCTCCTCTCTCTCTCTCTCTCTCTCCTCTCTCTCCCTCCCTCCCTCCCTCCTCTCTCTCTCCATCCCTCTCTCTAATCTCTCTCTTCACACATTGTCACCTTCTCTCTCCCTCGCGTTGACGTCTCTGTTTCTTT